GTCACTCGCCCCCCCACCCCATTAACGGCCCCGGCGGCGGTGCGGGGGGGGACATGAGGGGGGAAGTGGACCAGAAAAAAAGACGGAGGGTCGAACCAACACTGCCCTAAGTGGAATACCCGTTTGCTGCATGATTGAGGGCACCCCTTCCTCTGCACAACAGAGTACACACACCATTCTCTCCCCCAACACCCCTCCCGCCTGTCATCAAATAGTAAGACAAAAGAAGGGATGAAATTTTAACTTCCTGGGTCTGGAAGGAGATAGTTCTTGCCAGGGAGAATTTGCATCTCTAAGACGGAAATCAAGGTTGAAACAAAGCCCCCAGCCCTATTGATCAACTGCGGGTGCTGCCAGCCAGCAGTTCTTCCTTCACTTCAATATTAAAAATCAGCAACATCACAGGTTGAAAGGGCTTTTTTTAGAGAGGCATCCCCAATGGCTTAAAGGGTAAACCTGGTGGTCCCTAAGGCTGTTCTCATTTCACCCCCTGAAAATGGAGTTTGGATTCTCAGAGAACAAACGGGGAAATGACTACTTCAAGGAATGTGTGAAGAAAAAGAAAATAAAATGGAAAATAAAAGAAATGGGTCCCACAGTTAAGTTCTCAGTGAACCTGAACTGCTTCACAGCAAGACCTCTGGATCCCAGCATTGTGGTAGATCACAGAAAGGGGGAGGCAGGGTCTGAAATTCATTAAATGAACATCTGTAAGACAGATTTCAGAGCCTCCAGTCCCAGTGCATGGTACTAACCTTTATGGAATGGCATTCTCTCCAATCCCCAGAGCCCCGTTCACATTGAAGGATTGTGGAAATGGCCTCAACTCTTGCAGCTGTAGCTACCCCACATTACAGAACACAGGATGACAAAATAGGACAAATCAACACAGCAGCGATGCCTCAAAGCTCTTTTGCCTTCCCCTCTTGACCAGGAAACATCTAAGCAGCCTCCAATGGGGAGCCAACCACAGACTCTAGAACACCATCTTCTGAAGTGCCCCCATTGAAGACCTGTAGTGTATCTCAAGGGGTTCCGCTATCTGGACTGGGCCATTTCCAATCAAGCATCTCACCAGCCCAGCTCAGTTGTGTGTTAGTCAGCAAAAGAGCCACCACTGCTTGAATCCCAAACCGTCCAGCTG